CGGAGGAATTGGCGGAGGAGGCGGTGGTGGAGGAGGTGGAGGTGGAGGAGGCGGCGGTTTGGGTGGTGGGTCGGGACATGGTGGTGGGTTCGGTGGAGGTGCGGGAGGAGGTTTGGGTGGTGGTGCGGGCAGTGGCGGAGGTCTAGGTGGTGGTCATGGTGGTGGTGGAGGGTTTGGGGTTGGTATTGGAATTGGAGTTGGGGTCGGAGTTGGTGGTGGGGCCGGAAAGGGTGTCGGAGTCGGAAGTGGTTCCGGAGGAGGAGGCGGCGGCGGCCGCCGGTGATTGATGGATGGGGATTTTGATATAATGCTCAAGTGTTTTAAGTTTGATACACCGTTTGGCTTTTGTGTGTGTTTTGTGTTTTCTTGGTTATGGTTTATGGTATTTTCTAATTTGTATTTGCATGTCTCAATTGGCATTGTGTAATGGAGTTTGATACATAAGATGCTTTCTTCTAATTGCGGCATTGTGTGATGGAGTTTGATTCATGATATGCTTTCTTGTAATTGTAGTGTATTGCTTTCTCAATCAAATGAGCACATTAAAAGAAAGCAATTGTTGTGGATGGTGTAAGAATCAATTATTTTGTCCATGCTTGAATGTTGAATCCCTCTCTCATCTTTATCATTTTGTTACTTAAATACTAGATTTGAATTATTGAGCTGAATGGGCCTTAGGACTGAGGCTATCATGTGCTCATATTAATTTCAACTGTCTTACACTATTATGCACATTGAACTCTCATAAATAGCAAATCACACACAATAAAGAAGGATAGTATTGTTCAGTCTTCATCTTTTTTTTTTTCAACTGCTTCAAACCAAATTCAGCAGGCTTTCAATTTGGTTGAAACATCATCTGAAAGAGATGCACAACACTAAAACAAAATGCTAGAAAGATCAAATATATGAATATCTCATCTGGGTTTCAATTTCATCTTGTAACAACAAACTCAAAAGTCAAAAGTACTCAAAACAAGAACACAGGCTCAAAAACTAGTGCAAAACCTAGAGTGTTTTAATCACAGCTGCAAGTATAACAACAAAGTTTACCAATGGAAATTCACTGCCATCAAATCAAGACCGAAAAAGGATACCAACAATGAAAAAGAAGAGTATACAGCACGGCCATGAAAGAAGCAACAGCTCCTAGAGAAAACCAATATATATACTCCTTCCCCTTCAACTAAATCACAAGAAAAACACCATTCAAGCAAGAACCAAAAAGTATCATAATAAATCCTTGAAGAAATCCAAATTTAGCGTATCACTAACTAGAAGATACATCCCGAGAAAGGAAACGAGCATGAACCCAGATGACATTATACGCTGCTCCAGCTCAAACGGAAGTTTCTTCCCACCCCTAACTGCCTCCACTAGGATAAAAGCCAACGAGCAGCCGTCAAGAGCCGGCAGAGGAAGTATATTAATCACAGCAAGATTAAGATTCAAAACCGCGGCAAATTGGTAAAGCCCGTCAGCATTCGACTTCGCCACCTCAGCACCGACCGCTATGATGGCGACCGGGCCAGAGACCTTACTGGCTGACTGGGAGAAATTCATGAACATCTGCTTTAGACTGTTGAGAACGTCTTTCGTTAGACCCCAGAACTCGCGGCCCGAGAAGCTGAAAACCTCGAGTATGTTTTGTGGTTTGATCTTTGAGAATTTCATGTTCGGGGACAATCGGACTCCGATTATACCCGTGCCATCGGTATTTTCATCCGGCGTGACGTTTATTTTCACATTCTGTTCTCCCCTGTTAATGTTAAACACAACTTTTTTCTTGGGGCTCGTTCGAATAACCTCAACAACCTCTTCGACTAAACTTGGGCCCGTTTTAGAAAGCCCGGTTTCGTTAACTCCTAAAATGATGTCACCGGGCAATAAGCCGTCCCGAGAGGCGGCTGAAAGGGGCTTGACGCCAGGCACCAGCACGCCCGGGAATGATTCTTGAACAGGCATTCCGACAAACAGGACTTGCAGGAAAATTATAAGGTAAGCAAACACGACATTAGCAATCACACCAGCAGATATCACAAGCACCCTATCAAATATGGGCCTATTTTTCAACAAATTCTTATCGTCGACCGGAATATCACTATCCGGGTCATTATCGGGAAACCCCACGAAGCCGCCTAACGGAAAAGCTCTAATCGAGTACTCCACGTTGTTCGAATTGAACTTAGCCAAGATGGGACCGAACCCGATAGCAAATTTACTCACGTGGATGCCCTGCAGATAAGCAGCGAGAAAATGGCCGCTTTCGTGGACGATGATAATGGCGGTCAGAACCGCGGCCGCCTCAATAACTGACTGGGCGCTCTCGAGCCCGCCGATATCGAGCCCGGCGAGTGCCCAAGTTTTGAACTTTCTCGGCCGGCCTTGTCTGAAACCGATTTTCCCGGCGAGAAACAGCCCGTTGGGGCAAAACGTCGAACATGTGGCAGCTGACAGTGGTTTGGAGAAATGGGTTCTCGACTTCAATGGAAAATCTGAAACGGGGGCCTTTGGATTGATGAATCTTAGGAGAGATTGGGAAGAAGAGACTGATGAGAGATTTGTAATCATTATGATTTATGATGTTTTTGTGATCGTGGAGAGAATTTTTGTGAAGGAGAATGAGTGAAGCTTAGAGAGCATGGGGCGTTGATTTTCTTGCATAAAGATGAGGATTTTGGGAACAAACAAAATGAGATGAATGGATAAAGAGTATTTAGATTTTGTGGAGGTGAAGAGAAATGAGATGTTGCCATCCATTTCCACAAGTTTGGTTTTGTGGTGTGCTTTTGGGTTGGATTATTGGTTATTAGTATTTTTCTTTCTTTCATTGGTTTTGCAAATTTAGATCATGTGTGATGCCCAAATGAAGAAAGGCCCAAGAGTAGGCCCAAAATACAGTGTTTTCACTTGATCCTTTTTAACCAAAGTATTAGAGTAGGGTTGTTATTCAAGTCTAGCCGAGTTAAATCGGACCTTCATGTTCAAGCTCATACTCATTTAATAAACGAGTTGGCTTGACTCGGTTTTATTTAATAAACAAACCAAAAGCTCGACTCGTTTAAATGCATGAATGCTTGGCTCGGCTAGTTTAACAACCAAATATCGTGAACGACCCTTTCACGAACATGCTCAGGCTCAACTATTCATTCTAAACCTATAAAAAATAATAAAATAATAAATAAGTTGTAAGCTACGAGCTCGAATCAGACTCTTTTAATCAACGAGCTCAATTAGTCATGGTAAGGAATTTATTTGAGTCTATATGAATTAATATAAAAAAATATTAATTCTATGATATTTTTCAGGTTCTTACGACTTAAAACTGAAACAATATGCTCGTGGATTTGAATAATATTTGGACATAATTATTCTCCTATGTGGAAAAAAAGTCGCATTAGTCATCGATAAGGTTTCTAGTTCGCGTTTACAAATTTGTTGCATTTTCTAGTTCGCGTTTACAAATTTGTTGCATTTAAAAATTGCTGCGAGTTATCTATGCGTTTAAAAATGTCGCGAATTGCGTCATTAAAAATTTGATGTTATAAAGTTATTTGTGAGTGTGACCTCAATAGGCTTATAATAATGTTGTTAAATTAAAAGAGCTTGGTTCGGCTCGACTCGTTAAGAATCAAGTTGGGTTCGAGCTCTAGCCTTTAACGACCCGAGCTTGAGCTCATTTAAAGCTCGTTTTCTATAAGGCTCGAAAAGAAAATTTTTATATAATTTTTTATAATTCGACTTGGTAGAACTCGAGATCGACATATTAATAGTAATAAACGAGTCGAGTTCAAGCTCAATTTTTGGCTTGTTTTTTTTAACGAGTCGAGCTTGAGTCAACTCGACTCGTTGACATGTCTATGGCTATGCGTAGATAATTTTTTACAGGGGATTGAAGGGAAGAAAGTGATAGATGTTTGGTGGTATTATAGGGCAATGAATACAAAGATAGCATGTGAATATTTAAATACTAATTGTGTGTAAAGCAATTCATGTGTATGTATGGCTCACACGTACATGTGTACTGTATTGTATATTCTTTGGTGATCCGGTTTTTACGCCGAATGTTACGAAATAGGAAAATTGCAAGACCGACATTCAAGAAATTGGTCCGTCTTTGACAAATGTCGTGTTAGGGGAGATTTGTCCAAACTAAAATAAACGGTTTTGTAAATAGAAATTGTTATATCTGTGACAACATCACCATTTCAAGTCAATATCCACATGAAAAATGAACAAACCAAAACCTCATATATTACCACAACATGGCTACAATTTAGTACACGACATGGCCACCAATAATTCACTCCCACCAACAATATATTTTTGTCCAAACCAATCAATGCCCCTAAAAAATATAACCTTATCCTCAAAACCACAAACACACATTTGACCCATCACTAATTAACTACTTAAAAAAAGACCATTTCCTAACAACAACAACAACAAAGGGACCAGTAATTTACTACAACAGCTAGAGGATCAAATCAAACCATTTAACAAGTAACTTCCCATCATGAAGAAGAGAAAATTTCAGTTTCACCTCAACATCAAGAAAAGAATCCTCTGGCGAATTTCGATCCTACGTCGTTGCATGCGCTCGGTTATAAGCCGCTTTCGAGCCTGTTGTTGGGTCGCCAGGTCAGCCGTTCGATACCGCCACCTATTGCCTCAGCCAAGGCCCAACAATCACGGGCCGGCCCAAGCCCATGTCGAAAATCCTGGCCGGAGGGACTCGTTTTCAGATTTAGTTTCACTCAAGATTGGCCTCTTGGCGACTCCCACATTGGAAAAACAAGCTTTTTGGTCAGTGTTCAATGTGTTGAATGAANTTTCAAGAAATGTTTTTTTTTTTAATTAATATTTTTTTTTTTGGTTGTTAAAAATTAAAATCACTTAATTTTGTCACGTTTCGTTAAACGATTGCAGGTGATCATTCTTTGTTCGATCAAATCCCGGAAGCATGTAAAGATTCGGTGGCTATGTTGTTTATGTTTGATCTCACAAGCCGTTGTACGATGAATAGGTTCGAATCGTTTTGTGGATCGATAAAATAACTTGAAAGTTAATCTAATGTTCGAATTTTCGTGAAATAGAAAGGATTAATATTTATAGCTTCTTGTTTTTCTTGGTGATTCAGTGTGATTCAATGGTATCAAGAAGCCAGAAAATGGAATCAGGTAATAAAAACAAATGTTAATTAACTTTGTGATCTGAATGATGATGCAGGCAAGAGCATATGCAAAGGCTATGAAGGGGACATTATTTTTCTCGAGCGCGACTTACAACATTAATGTGAATAAGATCTTCAAATTCGTCACGGCTAAGCTCTTCAATCTCAGCTGGAATTTGGAGCGTAATCTCAATATTGGAGAACCAATTATCGATTTCTAGTTTATTTTTTTCGACATTCGTTCGACCAGTTGCTGAAAATTATAGTAATTGATCGGTGGATTTGTGTTGTCTTTGATTAGTCGAAAGAGATAGCAGAGAATATGAATCAATAATGCATCTTTCTATTTTACTCTTATGACACATTGATGTATATAAAATGGGAAGAGTTCATATACTATATAATCGTAACAAAACTTTTTATTGATTCGGGAAAATCACGTTGATGAAAATAATGTATTTTTAGCTAAAATCAAAGCCCAATAAAATCAAAGGGCCGTTTGAAGATAATCTCATTGAATATTAGTCCAACAAGAAATGAGCTTAAAATAAGGAAGAGGAGAATTGGGCTGGACACCTAGTGCATTGGACACACATCTAATCGAACTCCACTCCATTTCTTTTATTTTTTAATATAATTATAATTAATTATGATGTGATATATAAATAACAAAACAATGATACGTAGTTCTAATAATTTGAGTATATGAATAGTTAATTTTACATAGAAAGCAATGAATGATTTATAATTTAAATATTGTATCAAAAAATGTGAGTAAAGAGAATAAAGTAAAATGAATGATTGGAAAGAAAACTTAAAGGAAAGAAACATAATAATTTATGAACAATAGAAAAAAGTGTCCAAAAGCACAAGGAAAAACATGGAGGACGTTTCAACGGATCTAGAAGAAGTTATTTTTTTTATAAAAAAAAAAGAGAGCAAAATCCATGAATATTAAAAAAGATAATAGTTTAAATTCAAGAAAGTAGCAAGTCAGAGAGACAAATATTCTTGAAAGTAAGTACACACAATTTAAAATTGATGATAGGCTTTTCTAATATTTGGTAAATTAAACAAGAAAAATGCAATTTCAACACCTAATGATACCATTGACCAATTCAAGCTCACACCACCATATCACAATTATAAAAAAAATACAATTAATCTTCATAATCTCATCCCATAGTCAACTAATACAATCAATCCCCCTTAAAATTCTCTCTTTCCCTCATCTTTTTTTTTGGTCCATAAAAAATAATATATAATTATTTAATTAATTAATAATTCCCATTATTCCTAAAGTTCAACCGATCTTAACTGCCTCAACTCCTAATGGCCCACATCATCACACATTGTGGGCACCATTATTAATTTCTTTCCTCTTATTCTCACCTCTTCTGAAGGTCTAAGAGAACATATAAATCCTCCTTTTAACACAAAAAAATTATTATCCTAGGCAAAAAT